ATGCTGTACAAAAGTAAAAGAAAAAAAAGGCTGAGAATTTTATGTGATGTTTTCGAAAAAGGGTTGGAGTAAAAATGTAAAAACATTAATTTTCTGGAAACAAAGGAATGGTTTATGATTTTATACATATATATCTGAGTAAAATAAAATGTTTGCTTGAGGAATGTAAAACACTAGGACAAATTTACAAGCATACTAAATTTTTTGGGATTGGAAATTCTCTAACGGTTTAACATCTGTTGTTACGATTTATCGCTAGAATTTAGACAAATTATATTGCAAGGATTTCTAACGACATGTAACCAACTGTAGTAATTTATATTTATTACAGTGGTTTGTTTGTAGCACTTGTTAAATTGTTGTAATATTCATATAATTGTATAGCAGTTTTAACCATCATGAGTTGAGTAGTCTATTGGTCCAAAGGAACAGGGTTAATCGAGAGAGAATAAATTCAAACTCTATGACGGACACCTACCTTAAGAATTAAGTAATTTTTATGTGTTTCCGGCACCAAATGTTGTAGGATCGCAAGTTTGTATTAGCTGATGCAATAACATATGTAGCAATTTGTTTATAGGAAAGTTTTTACCACTCCAATTTTTAACACAAAACACTCTCCAAGGCTCTTTGCATCTTGAGGACAACACAAATACGATAATTTAGAGATTTATTCAAAAATTTTAAAAGAGTTATACATTAGGCTTTGTAATTTTATTTTTAACACGAATGAAATAGTTATTTGAAAATTATTAAGGGTCATATTTTGGTAAATAATAATTTTACTCTTTTAAGTTTTGAATTTTTTAGTATCTTTCTTATTGGTTTTTAAAAACTTGCCAATTTCAAAATACAATCAGTACTATTGAAACCTAATGTTGTGCTCTGACTCAAGCATAACTCATGGGTTATTAAATTAAAGAAGTTGGGTTGGCCATTAGTTCTTGTTTAAATCCAATTATGTGACTACCTTCTTACATGGTTTGCAACCCTAATTTGAAACAATTCTTCTTACCGTGAGATTGAGAAAAAAAGAGACAGATGTTACACTCTTTTTGACTGCAGCAGTCGAGGGTGGAAAAATCTACAGAAGAGTTTGTTTCTTTCTTCTTGTATTTTGTCCATTGTCTTCATCTTCTTCATGGGTTGTTCTGCTTAGAGCTTGAGTTTGTTATTCTCCCTCGTTCAATTTGTTATTGTTCTTGGATATTGAAGCTAATAGAAGTTTTGCTCTCACCTTGCACAGTAGATGTAGACCACATTGGTCGAACCACTATAAATATTGGTGTCATCTTCTCTTCCCTTATCTACCTTGATTTAGTATTAATATTGTTTGGTGGATTATTTATATTAATGATTGATATGTTTGATAAAGAAGAAGTGGTTATTGGCCCATTTTGCACAACACCTAAATTATATCTAACTTCTTTCTAATCACATCTTAAAAGAAAAAAAGAATAGAGAAAGAGTGTTATATGTCTTAACTGTTAAGCTATACTCATGTTCACATGTAGAGATTTGAACCTAAACATTTTGATCAGAAATATATGCATTAACTTAGTTGAACTGTGATACATTTTATTATTGATTTATAGATTTTTATTTGGGTGGGAGGAGGTGTTTCTATAATTTTACAGAAAATCGCAAAATTTTTAAGTAACTCCTAAAAATATGTCCCCATCTAAACCTCACATTTAAAAACCTCAAGTAAATTAAATTATTGGTTTTTTAAAATAATATTAAAAATAGGCCAGATTTTTGTTGTACTAAAAAAATGGCCTAAGATTTAACCCCCTCAATATAGATTTCTCCGTCGCCTGCTTTTGACGCCATCTTCCAAACCAAATGTCTACACCATTCTCTTTTCCTTGTAATAGGTTTTGGTTGCCCATCTCAACTCCTCCGCTCCATTTCGGTTCCATGCTATGCATTTCCCGATGAGTTGTGAATCTTGAACCGTTCTCAAAGCCTCTTAATCTATTCTAGTGAATCGAACAAAAATATAAGTTCTATACTACGGAATTCGCTTGTTCAAACCCACCCTTAGAAGCCAAGATGTATGATACAACTGCGTCGTCACCTAGTCAGCTGCTTCTATTCTAAATGAAGACAAAATTCTCGTTCCAGGTTCTTCTGTACTAGTTTCTTCATCATCTTCTTCCAGACAATCTGTGTATATTTTCAATTTCAAGACCTTATAGGTATGTTTCTTACTTTTTGAATGCTTTGTTATATTTCAATCAAGGTGAGTTTAAATCTTCCAACACATGCACAAAATGAAGATGTCTGGTTGGCAGTTGAGAGGTATATATGCTGTTGGAAATATGTATTGAACTTGAATATATATTGTTATGGGAAGATGAAGCTAGACTCGACAGGTGAAAAGCATCACATGTCTAGGGCTCAACCAGGCCAAAGGCATGACTAAGTCCAGGGCATGACCAAGCCTAGGGCCAAACTAGGTCCCAGTTGACCAGGTCTTGTGGTCGATCAGCTAGTGCACGTGCCTGATTTTTGTGCTTCGCCAATAAGCCCAATGATGGGCTGACTCTCATTCTCATGTACCATGTGACCCACAATTTTGCTATCTCGAAAGCCCAATCTATTTGAGAAGATAAGATATCATATCAATCATAGAGTTTTTACCTCTATAAATAAAGAGAGAAACCTCACAATCAAGGTACACGACAGAAACACTACCTATTGCTACGCTTCACATTAAACTCCGATTTTGACTTAGCATCAGAGTGTGTGTTGCTAGCACTACACCAGTGTGTAACCCTTATATTTTGAAGGTTTGTCAAATCCCCTTTTATTGTTGAAGATTGGCGCAAATTTGATAAATCCCAAAAAGACCAAATTCCTGCATCAACAATTAGCGCTATTTGTGGGAAAGTAATTCAAAAAAAGATCTTCTTAACTAAGAGAAAGATAGTTCAAGCAACATAGTCCAGAGAAGTAGTATGTTAGACCCTAATTAGATCTCAGAAGGTGAGCGATAAGATCTTTGTAGGTGCGTTCTACAGCCACTCATGGGATGAGAACATGTCATGTCATTGGCTCGGTATCTCGAGTGGATGACAACTTAACCACCAGTGGGATGAGAGCATGTCATGTCATAGGGACAAATTGTGCAACCAGTTCGGTGTCTCTAGCGGATGACAACTCGATCGACGACGGAGAAAAGGCCAACCTGAGCCTTTGTGGAATGGAGTCACTTACCTCAAGGAGAGGAAGCCTCGCTGAAGATTTGGAATCAATCCCACTTACATCCAAAGAGTGACGAGTCAACATCGAAACAAAGCTGGAGGTTGAGAATGGGTCTCGTAAATTTTCTTAGAAGCAAACATTGATATATTTGCATGGTCACACGAAGACATGCCAGGGATCGATCAAGAAATCATGGTGAATTGACTTAATGTGATTGAGACTTTAAAACATTAAGGCAGAAACGTCGCACCTTCAACCAAGCAAGGAATAAAATTGTAGCCGAGTAGGTAGAAAAATTATTAAAAACAAAGTTTATTCGAAAAGTTCATTATCCTTAATGGTTGTCCAACGTAGTATTAGTAAAGAAAGTCAATGGTAAGTAGAGGATGTGCATTGACTTTACGGATCTAAACAAAGTCTGTCCAAAGAAAATTTTTCCTTTGCCAAGAATAGATCCACCGGCAAATGCAATGCTGGACATGAGATGTTGAGTTTCATGGATGATTATTCTGGATATAAATCAAATTAAAATGTATTTGCACAACCAGGAAAAAACTTATTTCATTACAAGTGAAGCTTTCTACTGCTAAACTGTGATGTCATTTGGGCTAAATAATGTCTGATGAATAGAATGTCTGATGCACTGATCAGTTGAAATATGGATGTACATAGACGACATGCTGGTAAAGAGTTAACAAACTAATCAACATGAGACAGATTTAGCCGAAGCATTCAAAGTTTTAAGAAAATACAAAATGAATCTAAATCCAAACAAGTGTGCATTTCGGGTCACCTCATGAGAGTTTCTTAGATTCATCGTGCATCAATGAGGAATCAAAGCAAATCCTGATAAAATTCAAGTTGTGTTAGATATGGATTCAGCTAAAAACTTAAAGCAACTACAACCTCAACGAAAAAATAACTGCACTCAACAAGTTTGTAAGTTGTAAATGTCTCCCATTCTTCAAAATCTTGAGAAAGAAGGAAAATTTTGAATGGACAGAAGAGTGCAAACTTGCCTTCAAACAACTTAAAGAAGTACCTCAGTTTA